CGCTTTACTTTTCTGTAAAATGACCATGTATCAAGTGCAGTAAACAGTTTTTTGTAGCAGTCTGGGCTACGTGCACTACTGTTTATGTGTAATGAATAGTTTCGTCTCATCCCACAAGTTTGACACTGCCTCTTGCATTAAAATTAGTCAATATATTTAAAAAATTGGCCCCGTATCTGCATGTTTCACTGCAAATGTCGTCGAAAGACGATAGTCCTACGTCTAGAAAGAGTGAACAAAACATTTATTTGATGTTTTGCACGAAAAAACTGGTGAATTGCATTCTGGAATCGCTGTGTTAGAGAGTCTCGATCCTTGCAACGGAGGCAAACGAGCGCATCGAAGCACGTTAGACACGAGTGCCATCTGGCAGTTATCTTCGCAAACGAAGGAAGGCGTGCGTGCCCATGGAAAAAGATGCACGCCTGTCTCGGAGGCTATGAGGTGTAGAACGCAAAGTGACGGGCAGGTGCCACCACCGCGTCATTCTGGCAAAGCGTTGAAAACGCTTGCCTTTTCAGCATCGCGTTGCATTGTCAGCGCAGCGTGATAAACGCTACGGTCCTCAGAATTACTAATGTATGCATTCTCTAGTATAAAGACACACATAAAAACATTGGGGTGTTGTAATGATGCTTCAGATATGCGCAATATTTGCTTTTTTATTTGACAATCGCGCAAGTATGAACGCTTAAACTTGAGCAATATTGGTGGGTGCTGAGGATGGGGTCGGCCGTTTGGGGTATCGTAACGTTGGACAAATAGCCTAATGTACATGCAGACAGGCAGACACCAAAATGTTTGCGTCGAAGTACCCCAAGAAAGACTATCGTCTTTAAAAAAGTGAGACGCATGATCACGTAAGTTTGGTGATGCAATGGACCTTTCCAGAAATCGCAGCTCCGCGCCTTCCCCTGTTGTATTGGCGCTGGGGCATTATTGGAGAGCGGAGCGCCGGCGGGCCGAGCAGCAGACGCTTTCCTGCTTTCGCCTGCTTCCATTGCGCGCCGTGAGTGGTTTTGGCTGTCATAAGGAGCTGCTATTGTGAAGAAACGCTACGTCTGATCTCTCTGACTCTCATTTACACATACTGGACTGTGTTGTCTGTCGGAAATAACCGTAATCATCATTGATAATGCCGAATAAGAAAAATGGCGAGCACACTTGCTCGGTTCTTGGATGTGATAACGCGGGAAAGCCACCGGACGTTTCGTTCATTGCTTACCCGCTACGGTGGTCGGGCTAAGGCACTCGGCTTCTGTGCCGCAGATCGGGGATAACATCCCGGCCCCGGCAGCCGCATTTTTCGATGGAGCCGAAAATGCTTGAGGCCCGTGTGCTTAGGTTTAGGTCCACGTTAAAGAACCCCCAGGTGGCTGAAACTTCCACAGCCTTCTATTACAGAATCTCCCATAATTATATGACGGTTTTGGGACATTACACCCCGACAACTTTATTTTACTATTCTTTCATTGCTTGGTGCTAAGTTCATGACTTCTATTTTCGTGATGCTGCAGCTAAGTTGAACCTTCGTTAAGATGTCTGTGTCCTCATTCACTGTGATTATGGTGCTGAAATATTACACCTGAAGCATACCATGTAATTAACTACGCAATTTCAGTAAAGCTAGAGGATAAGATAGCTCATTAGAAACTCACAGGGTGCCCTATCCATTCACCCATAAAGACGATTCGATGGCGAAAATCATCTTCTTTTTCTTCTCAATCGCTGTACTGATCCTACCTCGCCAGTCTATGACTGTCACCATGATTTTGCCGTGGGTGCAAACCAGCGTTGCAATGTGGCTGGGGTAGTTCACTGGTGTAACTTGAACGTAGGCAACTACTGGTGTGTTTTTAAGGAGGCCAGTGCCCCTTTTGCACCCCCCGGCTGACGCCCCTTCCCGTCAACATTCACACCACCCTTTGAAAACTAGCTATACTTAACGAGGTTTGCACTGCCTCCGAAATCGAAGGCAGTGTGAAACTGATTTTGCATTGCCTCTGTGATCCGAGCACATTTGACCAAGTTCGGATGTCATGCGATTACGTGATCACGTGAAGTCACGCGACGTATTGATAACGTCACAATTTTTGGCGATATCTGACGTTATATGCATTCGTGGTCTTAATCACGTGATGATTTTTTTCGATCATTCGACGCCGCCGACGTGGGTCGCAAACGGTCAAGTTTCACGTTTTATGGGGCATCTAATGTGTTCGGCTAAAAGCCTTAATTGACCGTCGGTGGCTTCGGCATCCCACGGTGGCGACGTCAACACGTTATATGTTTCTTCCCGCAGCGGTGACATCAACAAGAGTGATGCAAAAATCATCGTGTGATGGCGTCACCCCAGGACGCCATCATGACATCACGAATCACCACAACGTCTAAGGTCATCATGATGGTCCCATGATTACGTCATCACACCACATCGTCACTTCGCATTGCTCTGTGATCGGCCCACCAATCACGGAGGCCAAGCAGATCAGGTGAGGTGCTGAAAGTTTGGAATATCTCCATTCAATAGAACCAGTGCAAAGTCAGTTGGGGTGTAGAAAATATTCGCAGAGGGGGGGGGGGGGGGTAAGAGCCAATAAATTGACTGAAAAAAAAAAGCCAGACGGCTGTCACCTTCAGGTCCCCTTGGGTGAATGCATAAAAACCCTGCGAGCGTTTTTTTTTTATTATTGCACTGTTATGTGGTGTTTATTTTTCTGTTTACTGCATGGTTACGTTCAATTGGGTCTGCTTGTTACTGACCATAAACCTAGAGGCTTCAACTATTCGACTTTGCGCATATCATTTTTTTTTGTTTCCCTGTGTCAAGGCAAATAGTGCTAGTTGTAGTTTGATTATTGTCAACAAAAGCTACACTCGCCGTTTGTTTCTGTCACATCGCCAACTGATTTAGTACGTGCTGCTACTGCCTTATATAACTTTCCCACACTCAATTAGGTTTTGACCATTGATTTTAAGGTCAGACTCACCATTACCAGCCTTCCACAGCAATACTTATCAAGGTTTTCCCACTTAAACATACTGTGCCTAGGTACTGAGTGGTTATTAGCACAATAACAATGTTAAAGCTGTGGAAATGTTTCCTTCTGAATACGCCTGCAACGATTCCTTCAGATGTTTTCTCCACGGCCCTTTTGACGAAGTGAAAGGAAAGGTTTATGTTTTTGGAAGCTTGGAGGGGCATCTATTCAAATGACAAATTACTAAATTAGTATAATCATAAACTGTAGTGAAACAAAAGATCACGGGAACTCAAACAGTAAAATAGAATATTGTGTGAATTACGCACACTGACGCTCATTCCCTTATATTGCTAACTAGTCACGAGTTAACTAGTCAACTGTTAACTAGTCACGAGTTTTCGCGCAATCAGGTCCAAAATTCTTGAGTTGATTTTTAACCCACAGTCATGGAAACAAGAACTACGCAGAGAAAGCATGTTTTACGCTGTTTGAAAACAAATACTGCATGCGAAGTATTCGTCCTGGTTTTCACTATTCTCACCGTCCAAAGTGCAAACTTTCTGACAAGCTGCATTTGAAACAGGCAATTAGTGTTCAAATCTGCAAAGCATAGTGGGGATTGAGGCTATCTAAAAGGGCAGGATTTCGATATCGATTATGCGTATCGCACGGAAGCATATCACGAGTGATAGTGCCCGACACAAAGTACTAATAATGAAGCTGTACGGTGCTGCTGACAATATAACAAACGAAAAAAGCTTCATCTACGTGAGGATAGTATCAACGAATCACAAAAGACTCGCCGCGAAAGCAGGGAAAAGTTTCCAATTGAATGGGCCTTTTCGTGGGTACGTGAGCGTTTTCCCGGGTCATTAATAAGCCGAGGATACTAGTGTTTGCTGGCTCCATGTTGCTCTGGGCTGTGCCTCTTCTGTGAGTACAGATTGAAGCAGGGTTATTACGTACGATATTCCCTCAACGATGCGTTCATACACCCGCGTGCTGGTGCGGAAATGTTGGTGTTTCCTCCAGCATTTTCTTTTCGCGCGTTTTTTCGTCGACCGAAGGTCATGTCGCGTTAACAGTGGTGTTTTGGGTACTGTGAAAATGTGCTTAGCTAATGCGCGAATAATCGTTTAGCTATTAAGTGTCCCTTTTAGTATTCCATCTCGTCTTGAGCAACATCATAGGTATTTTTGGCACATAGGTTAGAATTGCTACGCATATCCTAGCAATATAGCTTAATCATTCTCCTGTATGGCGAGGTCGTCAGTTCGGTTACCTGCCGAGGTGGCTGCATTCAGATAGATCCAGACGACAAAAGCAATTTTTTAGCATGCTTGAGCAAAAAAAAATAATAATAATAATAAGTGTCACGGTGCATCTACAACGATTATTTCGGATGTGTGCGCTTCGGCGTCCTTAGCAATTAGTCCCAATAATTATATTTAGACCAGCGAAATCTCATTACGCATGACAAAACACTCCCGTCATACGTTACATGAATGAGGGCCATTCTGTGCTGCGATCAGCAGCGAGGATATGTTTGCGAAGCAATGAAGTACTTGCGATGCTACGCAACCAACATCAAATTCATCCCGACGAAAAACAAACCGAAAAGCAGCTCAACCTTTCCCCTCAGTCAACTGTGGAAACAACGGGAACCAGCCCCCAGCCCTCATCGGGCAGGAAAACTCTCGCACTCTGATTAAATGGACTACGCTTCTGATCCCACCCCCTCACAAACAACCCCGACATCGTCAACCGCGCTCTCGTATGACGTCACCACGCTGCTGGCCAATCGCCCGTCGAGAGCAGTCAACCTCGGAGGAATGAATGTTGGGCGCTCTCTACCCCCGTCTCTCGGTTTTCGGTTTCAGTACTCCGTTGCTCTTCTGAGTCGACACGAAAGAAGGGCTTCAAAGATCCGGGGAAGCGCGAAGTTCGGTTTAGATCACTCAGTAATCTTCGCGTCGCAGGGAGATCGACAGCTATTACCGGACGTTAAAACGGGGTATGAGCAACCCAGCAAGTAATCTGACCGATTCATCTCGGCCTAGCAGTGAACGGAGGTCGCGCAGCTCCGTCCGACCTACCAGCGCCGGTCGCACGGCCTGGAACACGGCGCAGCTTACACGCGAAGAGTCGCGAGACCTGGAAGCTTTCGGCGCCAACGACCAGTTCGAAATCGTCGACGACAGCGAAATAGTTACCGTTCCCGAGCAGAAAGGATGCCTCGCGAGCTGCTTGAGAGGCCTCCGAGGTGAGTGCTGCCAGTTCGCTCACTTTCTCGCTGTTGCCGCATGCCCTGGCCAAGAAGCGAACGCAAGAAGCGAACTTGTTCACTTCTTGGTCTTTTTGAGCGGCGATAATGCGCTGACAACTCTGCATAATTGCCACTTTCCGTAAGAACGAAAGCAGTGTGACATCGGTGCAGCTGTGGCTCAGTTCGAAGAGGCGCGCTACTCCCTGTCGGCTGCTCAACTATTGGCTGGCGCCACGTCAGTGACGCCCAATCAAAACAAGCGGCGCGTATTTTGAAGGAGAAAAAAAGTGGGTTCAGACGATGTGTCAATCGAGAAAAGCTACGGTCATTCGTGCATTTATGCATTATGAGCTGTTGCACTCAGTGCACCTTCAATAAGCAAAACGGCAGCTATTTTCTGATTATGTGGATCGTAATCGTAAAAAATAAGAATTTGATGCTCGAGTGAGTTTCTACATGTGAACCCAAGTCTCGATCACCATCGTCGCTTTACATGTATAATATGAACACGGCAACAAGAACACTGATAATGTCGAATAAACTTTAGTCTTAGCATGTACTGGCGCATATAGGACGAAGGAGTTAAAATGGATGTATGTGTTAAATTGTAGCAAGTTCATTAACTGCGTAGCATTTCTTGACGAAATTCGACCACTTATAGCGTATCTATCTATCTATCTATCTATCTATCTATCTATCTATCTATCTATCTATCTATCTATCTATCTATCTATCTATCTATCTATCTATCTATCTATCTATCTATCTATCTATCTATCTATCTATCTATCTATCTATCTATCTATCTATCTATCTATCTATCTATCTATCTATCTATCTATCTATCTATCTATACGCCTACGACTTTTATCTATCCTGGCCGTTTCGATAATGGTATCGATGCCAAAATTGGTATGGCATGACTGTATGAGAGCATAAGCGACTAGTCCTAACTAGTGAATCATGACATGTATGTCATGAATTTCATTATATTTATTTCATGGTCTTGCAGCTCTTGCGGTGGTTTCCCTCACATGACATAATTCAAAACTGGTATGGTATAACATGACAGCAAGGCGAACGTAAGTGACAGAGCCTAACGTAGAAATCACGACATGCATGTCATCTATATCATGACTACACGCCACGCTCATGGTGCACTCGCAGTCGTTTCGCTAGTTTCACATATACCAAATTTGGTATTACGTGACGTGAATGGATGACGAAGGTATATCACTGGTGCAAACATGATAATCATGACATGCGTGTCATGTAAAACATTACTACATGCTACGCTCATAGCGTGCTCGCGGCCGTTTCGCTAGCTTCAAATACACCAAATTCGGTATCACGTGACGTGTATACACGACAGAGGAAAATGACGCGTCCAAACCGATAATCATGATATGCGTGTCATGTAAAGAAGACTACATGCTACGCTCATAGCACGCTCGTGGTCGTTTCGCTAGCTCCACATATACCAAGTTTTTTATTACGTGACGTGAATAGACGACGAAGGTAAATTACACTTCCAAACATGATAATCCTGACATGCGTGTCATGCAAAACATGACTGCATGCTAAGCTCATAATGTGCTCGCGGCCGTTTCGCTAGCTTCACGTGTGCCAAATTTGATATCACGTGACGTGAATAGACGACGAAGGTAAATGACACGTCCAAACATAGTAATCATTACATGGAAGTCATGCACGGCAGAATTTACGTCCGCCTCGTAATGTTGTGCTGATTTTAAGGTGGCATATCAACCTTCCTCATTCGTGCTTCGCATACAATTGATTCCCACTGCACGTGGGATCTGCCTTTTTTTATATCCGTATAGGATAAAGGTTTATTCAGAAGTATAAAGCGTCACTGGTGTCTTGGAAAGGTGATTGAGAAACCGTCACCAATAATTAGGACTTGAACGGGCTGCATAAGTGAAGCACAAAGACGGCTTATCACAGCGTGATATGATGGTCGCTTCATTTGAGCACGCGGTTTCGCGCTCCATGTTTAATATTTGCGAGACATGACAATTGCAGCATTGTAAAACAAATGCAAAACTCGGTGCCTGGTACGAGCCTCTATCAGATACCACAGCTTGTTTTTGTTTTCGAAGAGACCAAGACTATAATCGGGTACAATTTCAAAAGTCCGCGGCATTACCAATAGGTGCCAGTGGCGTATCCAGGAGGTGGTACATCAGGCTCACCCCCCCCCCCCCCCTCTTGAATTTTTTCCCCATGGCATACACAGTGAAAAATGACGATTTCAAGGAGGTGTGCCGCCCGAAATCAAGAGACCACCCTGCCCCCTCCGATAAATAAATCCTGTATACGCCTCTGATAGGCGCGCACTCAGCTGACGTCATATGCTACCATTACGTACCTAAAGATAGCATATAGGTCACGCATATGCCCAAGAAGCCTTTGTTAAAAAGAGTTCTCAGCGTGGCGCTCATTCTCACGCGGTTTTATGTGCTCTCCCGTAGCCAGCTATGTTTACACGAATATCACTCTGAGTCGTGCCTCACTTGGCGATTTGTGAAACCGATACTGTGACCAAGCGCTATAAAACCACCTCCAAACAATTAACTGTCGCGCGCTGGAGCAGACGGGCTTTTTAGCCGGGGTTCATGCGTGGGTGGTTAGCTACTTACTGCAACAGAAAAAAAAATAATTTAGGGTCAGTGCTCCTTTTAACTGCGTGAATTATACCTATACACGAACTATATATCAAATGGAGGAGTGCAACCACGCATAACGCATGGGAAGGGGCGGAATGAGTTTTTTTTAGTTATTGTTCACCTTTTACGTGGGACCTATACATCACTTGGGTAACCTGTTCAATTTCAAAATCAGGCCCGTATTCACATAAAGCTCTTGCTCCATGTGGCGTTGTTTGTGAAAAAAAAAAACATGTCAACAAATACTGACGCGAGTCATATTATTCGTGAAGGTCGCCAGCCTATTGCAGAAATCACTTTGCAGCAGAAAGTTTCGCGAATTCAATCCCAGTTTAGGAATTCTGCCAGTCAGAACAATGGTAGTATTACGAGGGACGCCATACTGTGCCCAGACTCTTGATTGATTTGGTGACCTGAGGTTCCTCAATCTAGAGCATGGGTGTTTTTTTTTTTTTTGATTCTGCTCCGGTAAAATTTCTTACTAATGTGGTAGGACTGCGACATATTTAACAGCAGCACTGTTAACATAACTAAAACCCGTGTATATAAACACATATTTTTTTACAAAAATGAAGTACTTTTGAGTTTCCATGTTTCCAAATAACTATCTATGGCCATGTATACGGCAATCTTATGTCTCTTTTCGCTGCGGATGCTTATCTATCTATATATCTATCAACCTCTCTCTCTCTCTCAAGACGGCAACACGATCGATTAAAGTACATGTTTCTGCTTTACCACGACAAGCTACGCATAGAGAAGCACGCGTACATAAAAACGGTTCACCGCCGATCAACTCGTTCCGAGCATCCAAAAAAACTGAAGGAATATTCCTGTCAAACGAAAGCCTTTAAAAACTCATTTTTTCCACGCACTGTCACTGATTGGAATGCTCTTTCTGCCGATCTGGTGAACTGCGAGACCGTTCAGTCGTTCGTGGAAAAACTTAAACACCAGCAACCCACTTGACTTTGATCTTTCTTTGCGCACCGCCCTTTATTATTCCACCGCGCATCCTGAACAGGCTTACATTTATGTTCCACTTTCTATCACTTTTCTCATATCAATGCGTTGTATTTTTGAAATGTTGCCGATTTTTGCACTGTTATATGATGTTTGTTTCTTAGTTCTGAGTGTACAGATGTTTGTCATCATAGTTTTTTTTTGTACGTGTACGCGTAAACCACTACAATTGTGTAAGTGCTAGCGTTTTACTTTGATGCACTAGTTCTTGATGATGTAGCTTTACGTGACGTGTTTCCTTTCCTGTTGTATCTTCATATCTTTCCTTTTTTGTATCACCCACCCCTGCCTAAGGCCTCATGTGTGAGGCTGGCAGTACTTCTGAAATAAATAAATAAATAAATAAATATATATATATATATATATATATATATATATATATATATATATATATATATATATATATATATATATATATATATATATATATAGAACTTGAAGGAGGGAAGACACGACAGGTCCGGGTATTTTCTATATTGAATTAACTTGCAGATAGCACATAAGAAAAGGATCGTTACTAACGTTTCGGCCGTGGCACGGCCTTCGTCAGAGTAAGTATATATCTAACGTATATATCTAACGCCCCGCGTTAGATATTCATGGAAAGTCAACGAAGTCGGCTGTAATGGCCATTAAGAAACGGGCTAGCCTTTACCTGAAGCTCAGAGCGAAATGTGGTTTTAAGTGGGTCAAGGAAAGTGTTCAGGTAAAGGAATGTTGATACACAGTAGAGAAAGAAATCTCTAGGAGACTTGCCACGGCTGCCACTGCAGTAAGCGATATGGCAACAAAGAGCATTAGGCGAAAAGTGTGGCACGTGAAGAAGATTAATTGGATTGCAGCGTGAAAAAAAATACCGCTGTAAGTAACTACCTAAATGGTAACGTCGAAATAAGGTGGGGAGCATTTTATGATAGCCAAAGGAAAACCGCTTTACTGTTTGAAGAGAAGTCGGGTTGCCTTTTAGAAGGTGTGATTATTAAGCGAGATTCAGTAAAGGAAAAGGTGTCGTGGTTAAGCTAGAGAAATGACAGAGCGAATGTAGCAGACTCTTTGAATATATCAAACAGGGTGTATGTTTATGCACTGGTCTTCAGAAGCCTTGGATTTCAGGGACAGCACTAGGAAATTAAATAGGTCCGTGATCGAAATAAGTGAAAGGCAATTGAAGGATTGGTAGCAGAAAATTAGCGAGATATGACGTATTTTTTGTTTTTCTGTCTGTTTTTTTCTGTGTCTATAGGTTATCCAAGTTAACTTACCAACTAGCCCAGCAACTAGTTATGC